GTTCCCAGTAGAGTCCCTTTAAGGTGGTTAATTAATAGCAATCGGAGGAGAGGATCCCTGTAGAAGTACCCCTGTAGAATTCTTGGTTCCTATAACGCATTCCTTGATGTCCTACTAACCGTCAATGAGAGTCTGGATTTCTGGCAGACGTTGAACTCGGAAGTGTTGACAATGTCGGCTAGAGACAAGTTGATTGGAAACTGCTGCAGGTCTGTACTACCTGAAAACGAAGAGCCACCACCCAGTAAACAGCACATTTGGCTCGCGTTGAAGGACGGATTAACGTCATACATGCCACTCATGGCCTTTCGATATACTTCGCTTCCACGCTTTTGTCCATCAAAACTGTAGAAACTGCAGGGCAGCCCATCTCGGTCTACATTTCCGAAATCGGTGTCTCCGCACTTGATGAACCGACAGCTGGTGTAGTTTGCCTTCCCAGACTTATTGAAGATCAGCGACTTGTCAATCAAAGCCAGCGGATGGCCGCTAGTTCTGATCTGGACGAGGATTCCAGACCCAGCATCGGCCTCCTGGCCCTTGACTACCACCTTGCACACTTGACCCCTGGAAATGTCCCCAATAATGCCTGCTCTTCTTCTTCTTCTGCCGCTAATGCTACCATAGCAACTGTTCGGTTCCAGAACAGCATCAACCTCGTCGCCTACCCTGCACCGGACGGTAGGCTTCGCTTGTGCCAGCTCCTTCAGAAGAAACGCGGCCCTCATGTAGAATTCTTGCCTAAGTTGCCCAATAACTCTTTTAACAATACGGGCACCTAATTTTCCTAATGCTCAGCTTTAATAGGGAGACACCAAAAAAACTAGACCCCGATCATCCCGAAAGCTATCAGTTCGACGTTTGCAAGGAACGCGTATCTGGTCGTGTTGAAAGTGCCGTGGTGGTGGTGCGGTGTAGGTGCTGTGCTGTAGGTGTTGTGTAGGTGCTGTGGTCTTGGTGTGGTGTAGGCGCCAGAGCGAACGCTCTCGCTAGGGTCGCGTGTCTGGCTTTTTTCTGCTAGCACAGCAGCTTTGCTACCAACGCCAAAGTGAAACACTTGAACGCTCCACGCGCTCACGTTCCCACCCGTCGAAAACAGCGAGAAGGTCGTCCATTCCAAACAGAGTTCTCCAGATGCTCCACACCCCAAAGCTGCCACCCGCTGAAAACAGCGAAAGGGGCGTCGATTCCAACAGGACGCTCCATGTGCCAGCGCTCCCACCCGCCGAAAACAGCGAGAAGGGCGTCCATCCCAAACAGAGTTCTCAGGACGCTCCACGCGCCGGCGCTCGCACCCGCCGAAAACAGCTAGAGGGTTCGTGGGCGACGTAGAAAAATCTGCACGGCGCCGCAGCGAGTGCGCTTCGACCTGCACGATCCGCGCAGAGGGTTCGCCGGCGAGCTAGAAAATTCGCACGCGCCACAGCGAGAGCGTTTCGACGCACAATCCGAGAGAGGGGTGCATGCCGACTACCCCACCAAAGACACCCCACGCTAAGAAATAAACCAAAATACAGTAGAGGCGGTGTAGGTTTTCTGGTATACGTGGTGCGGTGTAGCCGTGTAGGTGCGATGGTGTATGTGGGCGGTGTAGGTGCTGTGGTGTAGGTGCTGTGGTGTATGTGAGCGGTGTAGGTGCTGTGGCGTACTTGGTGCAGTGTGTGTGCGTGTGAGCGGTGTAGGTGCTGTGGCGAAAGCAACGCAAACGTCTTTTGACGAGGAACCCTTCGCGGTGCTTTTGTGAAAAGGCAAAAGGATACCACTGGGATACCTAGTTGCAAGTCAGGGACATCTGTCTGGTCCGCGGCTTCAGCATAAGTCCACGTTCCGTCCCCATTGCTATCAAGCAGGGAGAACCTTACTGGTGCAAAAAGGGGAGTGGGGGAGGACATGTCTCATTGGATCTGTCTAAGGCAAGAAGTACTGCTGCCCAGAGCTCCCCCCAAAATGTGGGATTATGTCGATGATGTCAAGCCTATGTCCCCGCAGTGTGCTGGCAAAATATGACGAGCGTATCTCAGCACAGCGTTGGGGACATAGGCTTGACATACTCCCACCCAAAGGACTCAGCACAATGTGAGGACTATGTAGGGACTATACTAGGCACTATCTCTGGAAAATCAAAATTGTTGCCGTTCGAGAGGAATTATCACTCCCTTCAACACCCGGGAGTATCTCAGGACTATCTCAGGACTAAGTTGCGTGGACTGTCTCGACCCTTCCTAAGTTAGGATTTGCAGACCTGAGCAGTCGCTGGCTTTGCAATCAATCCCTGTGCTGGCACAACAGCAGTCCTCAACCTCCTGAACAACTTAACATCCCGTCCTTTATACCATCTATATCTCCCTATATAGACCGATATAGGACAACATAGTGGGGAGGTAGTAGCTGTTTAGGGTCAATATAGGCCTGAAACTAGGGAGTAGAAACCTTCTTTGAATTTGTTTAGGGCTTGTATTCTAGGAACTAACCCCAAACCCTAAACTCACAACAACCCCAAACCCTAAATAATGGGGTAGCTTTAAAGATCTAAGCTTTCTCCACTCCCCCACTCCTCCACTCCCCATAAACCCTAGGCCCTGAAGCCTAAACCCTGCAACCCTAAACCCTAAACCCCTAAACGCCTAAACCCCAAGCCTCTTAAGCACCAGTGAGGAACTGCCGTGCCCATAGAATTTCACTCGGAGCACAAGCCACAAATTTCGGAGGTAACCATTCTGTGGCAACGGAAAACTGGTCCTGGACTAGGCTAAGGGTTTGGGGTTCATTATGAAACACAAGAGGTTTGGATCTAGTGTTTAGGCTTTAGAGCTTCGGGCTGCGGACTAGGCAATCAAATTGCAAAACATGTACGTTACCCTATCACACTAACTAAAGTATCACAGTAACTAAAGAGGCTACAGGAGTTGACCTGCTCATAAAATGGGTTTAGGATCTAGGGATTAGTAACCAAATAGGCTATAGGAGTTTACCCTAAACCCTAAACCCTGAACCCGAAACCGAAACCGCTAGGGTTTTGCCTTACGTTGGTCCTTGATGTCCGACTTTGTGTGCCAGGTACAGCTGCTGGTGTCGGGCACGCTCACGCCAAGCTGGGTGCACAGGAAGAAACATGTTGCCTTCAGCACACTTGAAGAAGTTCTGACAATGATCATGTCTAATCTATATAAATCTGAGTTCAGACATACCTAAAAATTCAAGATGTCATCCGACCGTAACCCCTAAACCCTAAATCCTAAACCCTACACCCTAAATCCTAAACCCTAAACCCTAAATCCTAAACCCTAAATCCTGAACCCTAAACCCTAAACCCAAACCCCAGATCCAGTTGCAAGCTGTAGGAGGAAGCACATGAGGAACCAACTCCAGGGACGGATGATGCGTCTGTCCGCCTTACTCTTGCTGATGCTTCACTAAATGGTGCTCATGGGAAGTTTAGGGTTTAGGGTTTAGGGTTTGGGTTTAGGGCTTAGGATGTAGGATTCAGGGTTTAGGGTTTTGGGTTAGAGTTGGGGAATAAGTATGAGGCCGAGTCTGTGAAGTCATGTAAAGATTAGTGTAAGGTTCGACTGCCACACTCCTCGTATTCTGGGCAGATTCTGTCCATGACATGGGGAAAACCTCCGACTCAAAAGGGTGACTGAGTTCTTAATGTGGAAATACGAACCTGGGAACCCTACTTGAAGCTTCATGGGATTTAGTACCACTTCTAACTGCACCATACTTATCATTGGGCTACCCTCTACAAGGCCACGTAAGGGAGTACAAGTAACCCCCTTTATCAGTGGCTACTAAGCCCCACGAACGTTCATGTAATGCCTTGGCGGTATACACCTGATGCATTCCATCATATGTTTCGATTGTAATTCGCCCTAAACCCTAGACTCGGCCCTAGACTGTTAAAAGCCCTAAACCCTAAAGACCCTTAAAACCGTTGACCAAAAACCTAAACCCTACTCATTCATGGGCCTTCCACTTTGTTGACGCACCCGGCTTGGCTTGGAACAGCGGGACCACAATGGCTGCGTCGAAGACAGACTGTGCCAACACCAAATAGACCTGGGACAAAAGGTTTTGGTTGAAGGCTCAGGGTTGAGAATTTGGGGTTTGGCGCTTGGGGTTTAGGGTCTCGGCCGTATTGGGCAGAATATCAGAATGCTTCTATCCCTTATTGGACTTTAGCAGAGCAACCTGTAAAAACTGAAGACAAGCAAGAAGTCAGGAAAGGCAGGGGGCATGGCAGCAAAAATAACCTCCCGCTTAGGTGATAATCTTACCGAGCCTATCTTCGATTTTTATGGCTAAAGTTTAAGATTTTTACCTAAGCCTATAAACCGCCTATAAACCTTACGGTGAATACGAAACATCCTGCATGACCCGAAGTACCTTATACCTTGGGAACAATGGCATTGTCGTATACTAAGGTCATGCAGGATTTTCAATATCAACAAGTCCCCAGACCTTATCCCAAAAGATCTAAACCCAAAACCCGAAACCCCATAGACCAAACCTGAAAGCGTAACCCTGAACCCTAATCCCATCATACGAATACTTGAAAAACCTAAGTAGTTTCCCAAAATTGCGGGGCCCCAATATAGACCCATAATATATCCTAATCTGTATTATGGGCACCCCCCAAAACCTAAACCCGAATTTTGGGAAACCCCGAATCCCCAAAATGGAGTTTCTTTCCTCAGCTTTGCTCCCACGGATCTTGTATGCGGGGTTTGAAAAAACCTCGGGGACCCTGGAGTTTAGGGTTTAGGGTTTAGGGGTTTAGGGTTCCTGCGGACCCCTGGGATATATGGAGAGTACAAAAGGACGATGGTGCTAATGGAGGTTGTGAAGGGACCCGAGAAGTATATGGCGATTTTGGAGGCATCATGGGCGGGGTGGAGAGTA